TCATCCTGGGCACCTCCTACTTTGGCGTCTTCCTCGGCGCCATCGACAGCACAATCATCGCCACCCTCTCCGGCCCTATCTCGAGCGAGTTCAAGTCTCTCAGCCTGATGAGCTGGCTCGCCACTGCCTACCTCATCTCCAATGCCGCCTGCCAGCCCATCTCAGGCAGGCTGACCGACATCTTTGGCCGCGGTCCCGGTCTCGTCTTCAGCAACCTCTTCTTTGCGGCGGGTAACCTCATCTGCGGCCTCGCCCGTACCGAATCCGCCATGATTTTCGGCCGCGTCGTAGCCGGCGTCGGCGGCGGAGGGCTCATGTCCATCTCCACCTTTCTCGGCTCCGACCTCATCCCCCTGAGGCAGAGGGGCGTCTACCAAGGTATCGGCAACATCGCTTACGGCTCCGGCGCCATGCTCGGCGGCGTCTTCGGCGGCCTCATCAACGACCACACGGCAATGGGCTGGCGCCTCGCCTTCCTCATCCAGGTGCCGCCCGTCCTCGTCTCCGCCGTCCTCGTCGCCGTCCTTGTCAAGGTGCCGCCCAAGGCTTCGGACAAGTCCTACCTGGCGCGCATTGACTTCTTTGGCGTCTTCCTGACCATCTCCTTCCTCGTCCTCCTCCTCCTTGGCCTTAACGCGGGCGGCAATCTAGTCCCCTGGGTCCACCCTCTCCCGCTCACCACGATCCCCTTATCCTTCGCGGCCTTTATCGGCTTCATCGTCTGGGAGAGCAGGGTCAAGCAGCCCATCATCCCCGTCCGCCTGCTCGCAAACCGGACTATCCTCGCCGCCTGCCTGACCAACCTGCTATGCACCATGGTCATGATGATGGCCATTTTCTACGTGCCACTGTACCTACAGGTCAACGGTCTCTCGGCTACACAAGCCGGTCTCCGGATCTTGACGTCCCCGCTCGGTGTCTCCATCATGTCCGTCAGCGCCGGCTACATCATGAAAACGACCGGGAAATACGTGATCCCGGGAATCACCGCCCTGGTTCTCTTCAACACCGGCATCATTATTCTCACGCAGTTCAATGAAAACACGCCCGCGTGGGTCAACTACGTCGTCTTCTTCCTGGTGGGCGGAGGCTACGGGGCCATGTTGACCATTACGCTGCTCGGCTGCATTGCTGCCGTCGACCATTCACAGCAAGCAGTCATCACATCAGCGACGTGTAAGTCAATCTTTTTGGATGACCTGAAACCCCCTCTTGCAGAAACTAACGAGATCCATAGACCTGGCCCGCAGTCTCGGTGGCACCATTGGCATCACCATCGGCTCCGCCGTGTACCAGAACGTGCTGAGAGTCAAGCTCTGGGAACGCTTCGGCGACTATCCCAACGCCGCCGAGATCATCGGCCGCATCAGAGACGACCTCGACGAGCTGAAGAACCTCCCGCCCGGATGGAAACAGGGAGTGATTGACTCCTTCCGGGAAGCCTTTGGCAGCGTCTGGTACACAATGCTCGGACTGTCCATCCTCGCCCTCGTATTCATCTCCCTGATGAGGCAGCATGTTCTCCACTCGACCTTGGAAAGAAGATGAGATGAAATGAGATGAGGCTGTCGCGTGACCTCTGTGAGCAATAGCCTCAGGCTCACTCACCCACTCACACAGTGCCCGCCGCCTCGATACCCTCTATAATAAATAAATTTGCTTATTACTATCACCAAGGCCTATGGCGTAGCGGGGAATGTCATCGTATGAATTGCCCCGCACCCATGGGTCCCGGGTTCGAGTCCCGTGTGCCTAGTAAAATCCCTTGGAGCCTCCAAGGAATTTTCGTAGGTCCCTCTCTCAAAGGGTTACTCAGAGAGAGAGGCCGAGCTTTTGCACTTTTCTTCTGGTTCTTCTTCTATTATTTTTGTTTGCTAGAGTGGTCGAGCAGGAGCAGCACCCAGGTAAGTATGATACGGGTTTTCACGTCTTTTTACATCCGAGATGTGGTGGTAGCTTGTTGCACTACGTACGGTAAATATGAGCATCAAAGTTGACTGACTCCTTGGAGAGGATGGCAAAACCGCCATCGTAGCGAGTAAGCTAGTATGTTGCTACCGCTGCTCTGGCCAAACTTGTAGATTAATATTGGGGTCAAGCATTAAGACTAGAGCTCAAGTAGACTAGAAGTAAGCATAACGATACGCCTCGAGCCACGTCAGTCAAATATGAGATTGAACGATCTGGTGACAAATCAATTCACTGGCAGTAGATGAATCCATGTCAGAACCAAACTCGCACACAATCAACGGTTCAGGTCGAAGATGTGAGAAACCACCCCTTAGTAAAGGATGAAATGTGGAAATATGAATGAGATTGTGCCTGTCCCACATCCATGGGCTTAGCTACGTATCAAAGAGGTCTTGTATACAAAAGTTCTATACGTATGCCAACGTGTTGTCATCCCGAATCTTGCCCGTAGCCTTGATGGTGGCCTCGTTGCCTGCAACACAGGGACCTCGAACAATGATCTGTTTTTCAGCGTTAGATGTGTAAACAGTATTTGAAAGGCCATTAAACTCACCTCTCCTTTATAATCCTGATCGGCATTCTGGTACTGGTCCGTATCTCTCAACAGGATCTCTGTGCTCGTCAGGGGAGGACCGAAGTGCGACTGCTTATCATCGTGAACTCTGTAATCGTAGTAACCAGTCTGAGCGACAGCTCCGGCGACCTTTGGTGCAGTCAAAGCGTAGATGATCCTGGCGCCTGTGAAGATGCGAAGATCAGAAAGTTCTCGTGACGACAAAGGCGGCGAACCGGCCTCGACCCTGTCTGCCACGTAAAGAAGACGCAGTTTTCCAGGGGTTTTGCCGATAGCTGGTCGAGATGCGCTGTTGAAACGTGCCGCGGCAGATGCAACGGGCATGACACCACTCTCCGTGAGGCTTCGGGACTGAGCCCAGTGAGCAACCTTGGCCAAAGCAGAGGTCAGGCGGTTAGTAGCCTCCTGGTGGGTCTTCAACAAAGTCTCGGGAGTGGACACCAATACTGTGGGAGCAACTCCTTGAGTAGCCAGAGCCAGATCGCCGACTTTTCCAGCCACAGAGTTGAAGGCAACAGATGAGTTGGAGTACAGAGCTGCCAGTGTGAGGATCAAAGTATGGATGTTTGTGAGAGAGTCGGCTGGCAGGAACAGATCAGAGGGGCTGAGGCGCTGGGTAGTCGGGATCGCCGCAAGCTGGGCGGCAACTCCGGCAACCAAGTTGGACTGGGTGAAGCGGACCATCTCTTCCATAGTTCCAGGCTTAGACTGCCAGAAAGTTACCACATCCTTGGGTTCGATTTCCTTGTCGACGGGAGGCACCTCTCGTGCGGCATCGACTGGTGCGTCTCGAAGGATCTCTTGCCATGTCGCAACGTTGACACTACCGCCCATGCCTTCGGGAACTTCATTCCAATCCATGTGGGAACTTCCCTCATCTACAACCCAGATGAGTTGGCGGAGAGCGGGGTATGCCTTGACCACTGAGTCGAAGGGGAACGCGCCAGGGGCTGTTATAACGGTATCGGCGGCGGAGCGGCGAAGCATCATTACGAGCTCCTCGTCTGACACATCAAATGGAATCAGGATAGCTGTGAGGTTCGGGTAGAAACTACAGGCGAACAGCGTCACCAGTAGCTCAATAGAGTTTGGTAGATAGACGGCGACGCGGATGCCGCCCTGCTCGTGAATGTGTTGTCCGATGAGGTTGATTTGACGAGTAATATCATCTATTCGGTATTAGAGGAGTTGATCCCGGTGCAATAGAAAGTGTACTCACCAAGTTGGTGCTCGATAACGTTCTCGGAGCCCAGCACCGTCAACAAGCGGCCCTTGCCTACAACAGGCTTCCCTTCTTCAGCGGCGCCAGTCGCTGCTCTTCTCCAGATATCCCGAAGATCTCCATCACGTCCTCTCGCCCACTTCGAAGCGCCGGGGTCCTTGACGTTGAGTCCGCTGTTCAGGGGCATGCCATGAGGGGCAGAGTGGGATCGGTAAATGGGAGATTCTCCTGGTTGGCGAACGGGAGAGCCTTGGGCTTGACGGGCAAGCAGCATGGGATGGGTATCGGGGTCCTGACTAGAGACGATTCGGTAGGTAACGATGGCGACGAGAAAAGTGACGAGGGCAGTGGTGTAAGCGTTCCATTGTCCGAAGAAGCCCGAGACACCCTCGTCCATCTGGTGCATGATGTTGTCAAAGAAGCCCATCTTGGGCGGCACGATCTTCGGAGTAATGCTAGACGGGTCGAGCTCCGGTGTTCGTCGTCGGTTAATGAGTATGCGTGCTGGTGGAAGCAAAACAACAAATGGCTTTACGTGGCCCGCATGGAAAGCTCGGAGGGTTAACGAAAGGGAAATGCATGAGGTGAGGCAGTGCCGCGGAGCTCGAGCTCGGAGGTTTCTTGGTGCTGAGCCTTGAGGTGGGTTGTGCTGGCAGTCAACGGCGGGGATTCTGACGTCCCCCCCGGCTTCCGCTGTTGCGACTGCCCTCGAAAGCGAGCTGGACAAGCATATGGGGTACCTTACTCGTACCGCGTCTAGGATTCTCCAACAGCCGGACAGCAAGCACACTGCGTGTCTCCGGCCCGCCTGCCTCTCTGCGTAGTCAGCACGGGAGTTCCCAAGCTGCGGAAAGTCTAACCTGGTGTTTCCGAAGTCAAGGCGGCGCTTCTGGGTATCGTCAGGTATTCTTGCTAAGGCGCCATCCCGTGAGAACTTGAGTGTTCCGGCCGGCATCTGTAAGACACTTGGACGAGGTACTTTGAGATACTTAGGGGACCTCGCGACCCTCCCACGTTATGCACCCTGCCTGCCCGAGCTTGGGAGGTACGTACCTTATCCTGCCTCAAGAAACGGCAAGAGCAAGCCACATCCCCCACCAGTCAGGAGCACAAGGTATCCACTTCGCAACAGACCGCTCCCTGCTGGTTGCTGTGGCCCGTGTGGCTGGAGTGTTGTTTTTCTGCCACTGCCTTTGCCAGATGCTGCAGCCATTGTTTCCTGCCGCATCCATCACCATCGACAACCCGACTTGAAGCGGCGCATTGAAGCACGCGAGCGCTCAGCGACAGCGCAGCGTCTAAAAGACACTTTACTAACAAAAAACAGGTTTGCGAAGTCATTGGAAAGAGTAAGTCGCATTGCCCCTAGCGGACGGATGTGTAGACCTGCAGATGACTGGAACTAACTCTTGCGCAACAGGCCTTGACCCTGACTGCGGTCACCGCACAACGATCTCTACTCCCCGACCTCACCTCCTCAAGCTTGCCAGTCTTTGGTGCAACGATGTCTTCCTCAGCAAGCCGAGCTGCCGTCAGCACTCCCGTCAGATCGACGCCGCAAAAGTCCACCCCCATCGTCGACAGTCCTGGCACATGGAGACATCCTCGTCTGAACGAGATCACAAGACGGCGGAACGCGACGACCTTTTCCGAAAAGAACGTTAGAAGAATAGCTCTGAACGTTGGATTTCTTCTCAGTCTCTGGCTGTCCCAGATCCTGTCACGTTCATACATTCCTGCACAATGGTACGCCGTCCATTGACCTCACGAGTGCGAACACCGCTAACTATCTAAGCAGGTTCAGTAGCTCTCTGCGGTCATATCTGGGCTGGGCATACTATCTGGTCCAGCTCATTCCGCTGTTCAACATTGGCATAGCTATGCTGCCTCTGCTCCGATCCGCCGATGATCTATCCGACATCCCCCTGACGCCTGCCCAGCGCCAACTTCTCGGACTGCCGCCCAGTTCTGCGGCAGCAACACCTGATGCTGTGTACAGCACCCCGCCACGTTACTCGCGGACGCCTTCTCTGGCAGGTTCGCCTGCGAGCAACCGGAGCTTCTCTGGCTCCCCGCTTTCCGGCAGAGGCAGCCCAGCTCTCGGGAGCTCTTTCAACGGAAACGGCTCCTTCAACGGAAATGGACAGTCCTACTCTCCTTCGCCCCTTCACAACAGTCCTTCCAAGTTCTCGGCCAGTCTGAACAGCAACAGGAGATCGTCCTTCGGCTCCTCCACGAACCTGGGAGCGAGCACTGCATCTTCCCTCTTCCCTGACCCGGGAACGCCGAGCCCATCTACCGGAAAGCACACCAGCGTAGGACTGAATAACAAGTGGCTTTACGAGAGAGGGAGGAGATCTTCAGGTGGTAACTGGATGCATTAGGCGATGACTGCGCACTATGCCTTCAAGTTCTGAAGAGAATTTGGGAGATGGATGACTGCGGCCAGTGGGATGGATACCTGGCGAAAGGCGTTTGGGTGTTATGTTTCTCATGGGGTGGAGACAAAAGATGACTAGATGCCTCACAATAAAGTCAAAGAAACCCCAGACTGTACATAAATGTTGGCGTGGAACATATAAATCAATCGAGGGACTGAATATGAAGGGTCCTGTCTCAATCTGGAAGGAAAGGCCTGTGCCATTGCGTACCTACCTACTCAGGTGCAGTAGCTCCAGTCTGTTCACATGCCAAGCTCCAGGACAGTCAGTGAATGAGTAGCGAGCCACGAGCCAATGTTGCAAGCATAGTACGGATAAATGCGCAGGAGTTGGGAAATGGTAACTCAAGTCTGGCCTAAAGTTCTGGTAACTCGACAATGGCAGTCTGCGGTTTGGTTGTTTCAGCGAGGTAGCCACGGTAGCTTATGCTAACAAGCTTCAAGCTGTTCGAGGAGGTAGGTGCCTTATCTTAGTCCCGATAGGTACGTACCTCGGCATGGAGGTCTGGCACGGAGAATGGGAAACGGGACGGGGACGTGGACTTCAAGATACGGCGAACTCCCACCCCGCTCTTCTCCCTTCATTGGCTAAACATCAACCCACGACCCGCTCTTCCGCTATTACGTAGCACTCAGTGCGCTTCTGGGAGTCTGGTCTGGAACATACATTGCACAGTCGATCTCCCAAGCTTCCTCTTCCCGTCAGAAACATTTCGACGGATAGTATGCCCCCTCTGTGACAATATGGGCGCCAGCGATTCGAAGCTTGTCTTCAAGAAAGGCATCTTCAGGCTTTCTGAAGAGCGACACATTCCCGCCGATGATCCCTATTGGACTTCTGTATGTCAACTCGTGAAGTGTCCTCTTCACCTGTGATACTGACCCAGCCCGCCCGTCTAGTTTTGGGAGCTTCCTGAATCCTCAGAGGATATCTTCAGCCTCTTCGCCCCCGCCGACATTCGACGCACTCGAGACAAGGCCTTGGAGAATTTAGAAACTCTAATACTGGCATTAACATCACGCTTGTTCATCCTGCGCCACCATCCTTCGTTTCCCGATCCCGAAATCGCTCCCGAACGCGATGCTCTCAATTGCGTCCGCGTCCTAACGCGCATCCTTCCCTTCATCTACGAGGCAGATAATCTTCAATCATGGGAGGAGCGGTTTTTCTGGGGTGCGCGGAGGAAGAGAACGAGGCAATCTGCGATTGCCGCCGAGGTGCTCTTTGACGGGGCCCAGGAAGGCCAGAGACCACCCAAGAACGAAAATGAAGACTTCGAAGATGCCAAACCCCTCGCCGAAGAGCTGATCGACACCTTAATCGACTTACTATTCTTCTCCGACCTCACTCTGCCTAGGCAGCCTAGTGGGCGGCCGAAAGTGTCATACGCCATCTGGCAGAGTGGTGTAGGCTGCAACACATCAGTGGCGACTACCAAAGAATTCGAGAGCAATCGTAGCGAGATACTCCGCTTGCTGTTGACAATGACTAGCCAGAGCATGTACATGTCGTCAAACATGCTTCCACAGCAGGGAATCCGAGCCCTGACACATATCTGCACTTGCCCCGATAAGCAGGTCGTGCTATCAGTCTTATGCTCGCTGCTCAATACTGTATGTGAAGCAGCTTGTTGTCTTTTGCCTGGCTGTGTGCTGACAGACGCAGACCCTCAAGTACAACCCAGCCACCTGGCGTGTACCATACAATACCCTGGTCTTCAAGGACGAGAAGCAGATACTGGTGACATACACACTCCAGCTTTTGCTAGTGTTCCTGCTGTACCCAATTCCCGAGCAAAACGGCACGACCCCCAAGAATTACTACCGCCACTTCCTTGGGAGGCTTCATCGGCCACAAGACTTTCAGTTCATCGTCGATGGCATGACACGGATTCTCAACCAGCCGCTACATGAAAAGAGCTCGTATCTTCCCAGTGGGCAAACCAATGCCAGATTTGCGCCAGAGATACTCATGCTCTTCTGGGAAATTACTCAGTGCAACAAGAGATTTAGGTCGTTCATCATCGATACTGAGCGGGTCCATGATTTTGTCGTGCTCACTCTTTTCTACGCTCTGGAGTATAAGAATGACGCGTCCAAGCAAGGCGTTGTGAGAATGTGTGCTTTTCTGCTGCAGACGCTGAGTGTCGAGAAGAACTTCGGCGCCAATCTCAACAGAAGATTCGAAGGTCAGGACAGCCTGCCGTTGATAATCAGGATACCTGGCTTCAGCGGCACTCATGCGGACTTCCTCATACACGTAAGAGAGATGCTACTGCACATGTGTTGATCTCGGCTAACAAAGACCAGAGCATCTACAATCTTATCACCACGAGTCAAGGCAGACTGACAGCTATATACCCGGCTCTCATGGCTGTCATCAACAACATTGCCCCCTATCTAGAGGGTCTCAGCTCTGCATCTGCCTCGAAGCTCCTGCAACTGTTTTCGTCAATGTCTTCGCCTTCGTTCCTACTTGCGAACGACAGCAATCATGATTTGCTGAGGTCACTATTAGAATCGATCAACTCCATAGTCGAACACAACTACCAAAGTAAGCCTTCATATTCGCTGGAGAATCCAATGCTGGCAATCTCATGACTATTCGGGTCTGTCAAGAAACATTATGCTGACGCCTTGACAGAGAACCCCGAGCTCATCTTCGCAATTTTGCGCAACAAGAAGCGAATAGAAGCATTACGAACTTTCACCCTGGAAAGCGGTCAGGAGGAGATCGAGAGACGAAACCGTCGCCGCAAAGAATCAGCAGCCAATGGTGACGGGCTCGAGCCCAGTTCTGTGAGGAGCTCAGCCGAAAGTATGCGGAGTCCAACCGCATCTCATCCTCGACCCCCGACGTTAAGCGATGTTCCGGAAGAGGACGGTACCTTTGCGATTGGTGATGACGAGGACGATAGCGAGGACGAGGACCACCGCCCAACGCCAGCTCAGTCAACCACGAGCGAAAATCCATCTGTGACATCGTCACAAGCGTCAGTGGTGGAAGACGCGGTTCCGACACAACTTCGGGGTATGTCAGAAAAGGCCAGAGGTAAAATGCCCGCCGGCATGAGCAACTTCTCCAGGCAAAACAGCACCACGAGTCTGGGTGGATACTCTGCAAGTGGGCAGTCTCAATCCGGTGGCTTTGAGCCTACAGCCAACTGGATTGAAAGTTGGCTGCCAGAGCTGCCTCTTCACACCATCCTTACCGTGATCCAGCAAGTGACGGCTCTGTTGCCCAGGCAAGCTCTTGCGGGAGAATCTGCAACCAGAGAGACACTTTTGAAGATCCAAGAAATCAGGCTGGTGGGAGTCGACCCAACACCACCACGAGTGCACTCCTTCGAGTGGTCGCAGCTCTCATTAGGATGGTACGAGTCCTTGTTGTGGGGCTTTGTTTTCAGCAGCGAGATTCAGATCTCAAAGGGCACAGTTGGAATCTGGAACGGTACAGCGATCAAGCTATTCAGGGTCCAAGAGACTGCGCCTCAAGGGCCAAGTCTGGCGTCACCGAGGGGAGCCGTTGATGCTGTTGGGAGCAATATCGTGTCCCGGATCGGTGCTATGAACCTGCGAGGCCCCGGAGGTACATCACCACCAGCCAATCATCGTCCGGGATGATAAAGCGATCTCTCTTACAGATAGGAGGTTTCTCAACATCTTTGTCTGATGATGTGGGGCCGCGAGGACCCTTGGGCGGAGGTAGATTTAGATCACTCGACACCTGCAGACGATGCCCAGGGGATGATGACAAGGCAAGATAACAACACTGCTGTAGGCTGAACGGCCGTTATAGAAGCAGTCATACCACAATACCAAATGACGATCCTTGCATAGCAAAGGGTTGGTAGAGGAGGAACAGATCGGTGGAAGATGAGACCGAGAACTTAGGAAGATGCTACTTGCGCCGTGGACCAAGAGGGCGGCGTCAGGATAGGAATCAGATACCGAGATCGCGTCAAGGTGGTGAGCTGTGGCAAACGACGCGTATGTACTCCGTAGGTGTAGCGGGATTGAACAGACATTGGCAGGCGGTAGGAGTTACAATCTATCCAATAATCTTTCACTCGATGGGCAACTTTGCAATGCCAACAAGACCGGCAGGAACCGAAGTATCCGTCCCTAAGCTTAGCTTACTAGGTATTCTGGAGAGCGGCTGTCATCTTGAAAGGTGTGGCTTGACGTGGCGAGAGCGCCATTCCAACGTGCAGGGAATGAGGAATTTAGCATAACCAATGAGGCCGTTATAACGGGCCCTTCGTCCATGAGTGTGTTGGCAGACGGTCCCAAACCTGGCAACTGATGCAACTCTGTACCTGGCACAATCTAGCAAAAAGCGGTGATCATTTCCGGGCTTGTCCAGGGATTCGTACGCACCGCCACAAGCTTGCCCGGCGCGTACCTGTTCTACGGTTCTAGACCCTCCCCCCTCTCCAGATCGCCCATTCAGAGGCCGCCTGGCAAGCAAGGGGTTCAAGTGTAAGCCACAACGCCACACCCCGAAGGGGAACGACATGGAAGTGCTCTCTTAGTCTTTCGGTTGCAAAGACGGTGGACATGGCACTTATCAAAGTCCCGGACCATTACTCCGTAGTAGCAATGAGACGATGCAGGATGGGATTTTGTCTCCAGGCTTAAGAGAAGGGTTGTATTAAATAGTTTCGGCTCGCTTAACCTGGTCGATTATTTTCCCCCGTCTAGCCTTATAGCACCCGCTATTTCTAGTTTTGCGACGGATGGGTATTTATCTCAATAAGACCTTTCCCGTGTTCCGTTGCGACTTGTTGACTTTCCGGTGTTTCCGCTCAGCGCTGGGTAAAGGCGGTTCTGATACCTTTACTTGAGTCCCGCCGGTACGCTCACAACACGGATCATGCCAATTGACTCTTACCATGGCCAACACTCACGACTCGGGCGCTGCTGGCCTGGCCGGAGATGAGATCAGTCCTTACCGTATACATGTGAGGGCTCCCGGAGGCTGAAGTGCAAGAAAAGCTGGTTGGTGGGGTGTGAGTGAGACGAATCGGGCTTTGAAGGCTAACATGAAGTTTTGCTTGAATGAAAGGTGTCTAGCAGGTATCTCGATCTCACGAAACAAAAGCTGGAGCTCACAAGACTTCCTCATGAACCTTTGGAGCCCAACAAGTCTCGGGACTGGTGGGAGCCAAAGTCTCGAATCGAACCGCTCATTGACTTTTGGTGAGTCCGACTTTCACTCGGTCCCGTTCATAAAAAGAGTTTATGGAGGAAGAGGGTCAGCTTTTATAAAACGGACTCTAACTCATCGTAGGCTTGAGAAGTACGACTGGCGAGAACAAGAAACGGCCTTCAATAACCAGCTACCTCAGTTCCGCACAGCCATCACCCCGCCAGGCTCATCCTCGCCCGTCCGTCTTCACTTCATCCACGTCAGATCCTCTCACAGCAACGCCATCCCCCTCCTCCTGATACCCCCATTCCCCTTCACGAACCTCTCCCTAGGCCACCTCATCAATCCCCTCACCGAACCCAAACCACCATCTCCAGACGGCGAGCAGCAGCGCCAGGAACAGAAACAGCCCTTCCACGTCGTCATCCCCTCCCTCCCCGGTCTCGGCTTCAGCGATGCCCTCCCCTCCGACAACGCCTCCGTCATCCCAGCGACGACAGACCTCCTCAACACGCTCATGGCACGTCTCTCGTACAAGCATTATTTCGTCTCCAACACCGCCTCCGCCGCCTCCAGCCCAGCACAGATCGACTGGAAGCTCGCAGACCATCTCGCCACCCACCACTCCAACAACTGCCTCGGCGCGCACTTCATCAACCCTTCCCTCGCAGCGCCAAAGCTCAAGGAAGCACCCCTCGAGTGGGTAAAATGGTCCCTCGCCAAGTTCTTCCACGCGCCCATCCTAGGCTACCAAAGCGAAGACCTCCGTTCACTCGACGAAGAAGAGACGCAAGCGAGCAAAACGTCAGCCGAGAGGAGCCCTCTTCCTACTTCACTCCAAGTCGGCGCGGGCAACACTCTCTTGGAACCAAACACGACGTCCTTTGCGCTATGCGACTCCCCCGTGGGCCTCCTTGCCCTCGTTCTCAAAGTCATCCGCGTTCTCGGGGCCAAGAAGGAGTTCTCGCCTGCTGAGATTATCGTCTTCACCCAGACGGCCTGGCTTCCCGGTCCGGAGGCGGCGATGCGTCTCTGGGCACGCTGTTTGACGCACCAAGAGACTCCCCCGGTTTCAAAGCCGTCTAAGAAACCCAACGTGGCAATCACAGTCTTTTCAGGAACCGGAGAGCCAGGGGAAGTATCCGGAGGACGAGTAGCGAACGACCTAGAGTCTCAGACACAAGCCCCGGATGTCGTCTCGCCCCAGCCAGCCTCAAGCCCCTACGTCTGCCCCGCCTGGGCCAACGTCTCCTATAACGCCGTCCACGTGCGCCGTGTACCGGGACGTTCGGGCCTCGTAGCTTGGGACTACCCCGAGCTCATCGGCGACGGCGTCAGGGGTCTGGCCGCGAATCTGCTCTCCGTCGACGCCAGGGTTCAAGACATCGTCGCTCAACAGCAGAGGCCGGAAACGGTGCCTCTGCAGGGTGTCGTTGTGCAATCTGACTCGTCCGCGTCCACGTCCGCGCCGGGTCCGGGTCAAGGGGGTGCGGCGGCAGCGGCGGCGGCGGGAACGGGACCGGGACCGGTGCTACCTTCCACTCCGCAGGTCGAGGCGACCAAGTGGCGGCTAAGCCAGATCCGCGAGGCGTCTGAGACGCCCAAGAAGTCGTTGCAGCTGGATGACGGCGATGCGGGGATGCTGCTTTCGCCGCCGGATGCTGATTTTGACGGGGCGAGTCCGGATACCATTGTCGTTACTCCTCCCGTGAACATGCGGTAGTTGTGGTCTCAGTCTTTGGGAAGAGAGTGCGGCGGTTGGTTTTAATGTTTGCTTTGTATATCGTTTACTTTGTATGATGATACCATGATGCCGATGCATACGACGCAGGGCATGTTTTGAGAATATAGCTAGTAATTACGTTCGTTTATATCAGACATGCTTTAAACGTACCTTTGTGAAAATCGAAAGCTGTATCGATTATAGCCCGGGCAGAGATGATGTGTAGGTGTACCGCGCGTCCTTGCCCAGCTCCAGATGAAAAACGGGTTGCTCATCTTGTCACCGCCCATCTTACCCAGGGAAGAGAATTTGAGAGATACCGAATTCAGGCCAAAGCTCAACTGTCTCACATTCCAGGCGAGCCTACGTAGCAGGACCTGAGCCCAACATCCGGGACAAGGACTAGCCGCCAGTCAAAGAGGGAATGTCTATCAGACCGCCTCTTCTCCTGGATTGTGGACTCAATGGGCATGAGTCCTTGGCCGGGGGCTGAATTGTTTTCGGAAACGATATGTAGACGGGAAACGACTTGATATTATCGCCAAAGATACCTTCCTACGCTATGCATCCTTGAACCACCCAAACCCATGTACCCAAACGCCGAGAGCTTGTCTTCATTATTCCTCATCACTACTCTCCATCACAAAACCTCCCCTCGTGCGCTGCCGCGAGCGAGCTGTAGGCACCGGCGCATCTTCGTCGTCAGAATCGGCATCTGCTTTCTCTGGAGCCTCCTTCCCTTCTTCAGTGGCTTGTGCATCAGGAGATATGCGTCTCCGTTTCCTAGAACCCTTCTCCTGGGAGGAAGACGGACTAGTGCTCAATGGCGTAGCCTTGTCTCCATCCTGCTCGCCATCGCTTGCGGCATCCATATCTACATCGGCACTAAGCCGAGTAGACTGAGTGCCCTTCGTCACAGCGAGCACATCATCGTCATTGTCGTCGCTATCATCGAGCAGCAACGCTGCTGGTCTCTTGGTCGGCTCCGATACCGTAACCTTCTCTACGAGACGAGCCAAGCGCAAGCGCTGTGCTTCTTCTCGTTGGAAGAACTCGCGGTCATACTCCTCGTCCGTGTCGTCATCGCTAGCGTGGACGTACGCTTCGCTCTTGACCGTTCTCGCCTTTTCTCTCTCGCGCTCTCTGCGTTTTTGAGCCTTTTCTTCCAACTCAGAGTCGTTCGGCGCCTCCTCGTCTTCTCTGTCTTTTCTGCGCCGCCTCCGCTCCGTCTTCTTGGGAGCAGGTCTGTCAATGGCTTTCCGGACGGTTGGCCCCAGGGGTTCAAAGAGGAAGCCGTCGTCAACATCATCATCGTCATCGTCGTACTCGGCTCTCTTTCGTACCACTTTCTTGCGCCGGAGCTGATCCTCTGCGCTGGCACCATCAAAGGAGGGCGGGTCAAACTCGGCATCATTGATGTGCTTGACATAGATACGAAGAATACCAGCATCAAGATCTGGTGGCAGGATCCATACAGACTGGGGCGTCTCCTCGATGGTCGGTGCTAGCCTCTCAAATCCTACCAGCTTCATGAGTAGACGCAGGTGGGAATTCTTGAATATGGCAGTCTTGCGGGCATCATTGTCCGGTCGTACAGCTGGTACATGTTAGACATATCAACCAGTGCGATTACTTCGAGGAGAACTTACTAAAGGGGTGTCTATCGTTTGGTTGTGCGTCCTCGCCGGTGCCCTCCACGGATGGTATGAGGAAATCTGCCGCCTCCCAGGCAGCACGCTCTTTTTCCGCAGTATCAAGAACTTTCTTGACCCACGAAATATGATCTTGTTGATTTTTATCAAGCAGAGCACCAACAACAGTAGCGATTTGCCGGTCGAGATCTACAATATGCCTAAACTCGAGTTCTGCAGCGGGCCGAGCTGTCGATGTTGAGACGGTTTGTTTCTCGTAGCCAAATTCCAGGTAAAAAGCGGTGGCACTGATTTTGGAGAAAAGCATCTCGATTATGAGTTCGGGCCGCTGCTCAATCTTGCGCGTGCACTTCCTGAGGATTTGCTTGGTCAATTCTTCCCACTCTCTGTACATGGGAGAATTCTTGTCGAGCGGTTCCGGTCCCTTGATCATATTGTAGAAGAGGTGCACAATATCAACACGGAACAGCATCACGCTCATCTCTTGTTTGAAGGCTATGCGGTAGAAGTAGCGATGAGCACGCTTCAGCTGAGAGTCATCGAGATCCTTGTAGAACTTGGTAAAGGCGACAAAAGTATCGACCACACCTTGGGGAGCGAAGCGCGATGTGAACCGATGGAAGTCGAACTTGCGTTCTTTGGACGTCTTTTCGGCGTTTGCCTCATCGTTGGCGGACTCGTCATTCTCCTCGTCAACGGTATCAATGCCTGCTTCTTTTTCGGCTTTCTTCTTTCGCCGAGTCCGTTTACGAGACCGAACTTGCATGTCGACATTTTGTTTTGAGTAGGCCTCCAAGATTCGCAAGAAGTGATGTACCAGCTCTGTGGCGGTGTCGAGATACTCGAAGCCTTGCTCCTTGTATTGTCTGACGACATTGGCAATCAAATCATGCGTGGAGTCTTCGTAGAAGAGACGACTCAGTGTGTTCTCCGCAATCTCCTCGTCATCTTCGTTTCCTGACTCCGTCATCTCCTGGACAGTAAGTAGAATCTGCGTGAAACAACGCATCGCAGCCGTCAGGGTGGGCCAATCCTTCTGGTCCCAAGAGTCGTGCATGGTCTTCGTGAGAGTGATGAACATCGCCTGGTCAAGCACACCGGCCACGAGATTGAAGCTGCTGACTTCTTCGGGGGCTCCTGGTTTCTTCGAGTCTCGTTTTGACTTTCTACGAGTTCGCTCCGCCTCCAGAAACCAGGCGACAAGGTACATGTACTGTCGACGATGGTAAGACAGAACATGGGGCGCTTCCCGGTCCAAGGACTTGCGAACATGCACGAATAAAGGGTTGAAACCAGCATCGAGGAAGTCTTCGACAAAACTCCGGAGCTGGTCATTAGCCCTTGCATTGAGCTTGACAGGGGCACCGAGGTCCTTGGATTCCAGCTCTTCCTTCTTTGCGCGTCGTGGAGGTTTGAACGTCTTGGACTCGTCCAGTTTCTTTTGCCGCGTAGCGCTGTCTGCGAGCGCATCCTGTCCAGTGATTGTTGATACCTTGCCATCTTCGCGCTGCATCCACACCATGGTGCCAAAACGGTTGTGACGGGTGGGGGCCTTGCGGTTGAATGCACTGCGCATCGCGCTCTCCTTTTTCATCATTGAGGAGAGTTCCTGGGTCTTCGTCTTGTGCAATTGCTGTTCGTTCATGAATAGCTTCTTGACCTCGACCTGTTTGACCAGGTGGTATATGACTTCCATGAGAATTACGTCCTCGGTACGGAAGTCTTCGCCCATGTTCGAAGCAATCATCAGCAACACCGCGAAGATGTCCTGAAAGGAGAATGCATCTATCGTCGTGGACCGGGATATTTGTGTCTCGTCGCCATCATATTGGACCCCCGGAGGAGGGGTAATCATGGCCACGTTGCGGAGGAAGAATAGAACCAGCTTGATGATGCCCTGGTCGCGCGCTGATCGTTCGCCAATGGAAATTGCCATCGATGGCAGAGCTGCTCGAATGGCTGTGTTGAGGACCTGGGCACCGTCAAAGTTGATGATGGCCCGCTTGTATCCCACTTGCGCCAGCTCGAGAACAGGCATGTGGCGATGGTGATTGACCGTCATTCGTTCGGCGTCTCTTTCCATTGGCCAAGTAAGAGGCACCATAATCTCGAAGCAAGCCAGAGCGATGCGGGCTTTGAATGTGTTGTTGGTATCGTTCTCGGGCCAGCTCGCGAGGATCTGGAGAAGGTCGCCTTCCACGATGTTGGAGTCTGCAATGCAGCGGGCGACATCCATCCGGTTGGTCTTTTCGTCGTAGTGTCGAATCCATTTCTTCAGATCGCGGAGGACTGAAACGGCGTCGTCACCGAGTCTGTATCGTCCATCGTCGTCGGCGCTTGTGCCACCGAGCTATATCCATGTTAGACTCAATGAACAACAGTTTTCGGGAGGATCACTTGGCTGGTCCAAAACGTACCGCGGACACGAGACTGTTGATGTGCGCTCGAACTTCAGGGTGGACAACTTCCGTTGACCCGTCCGGCAGCTCCATCTTGTCGGTTCCCGTGGTTTTCAATACAGTGGCAGATTGCAATTGAGTATTGGTGGTGTCTCAATCTACACACCAAGAGTGACGATGATTGAAAAGGCTTAGAGGGACCGGCCTGCCCCGGTTCACCTAGCGACGCGTCTGACGCGATGCACCGCGTCCTAGCAGAAAGTTGAGTTAATTGGGCCCACCTTTAGTCTTATCGATAGAGAGAGAGACGGAGAGAGAGAGAGATTAGATAAGACCCAAGTGTGGCGCTCGGTCCGTACCTGCCTTAGCTCTGGATCCAAGCCACCTTGGGGGCTTGATAGGGGCCGCGGTTAACCTCGGGTCATGGACATCATCATGGCCTTGGACAAGGAACGATATCTGGCCACGGACTTCCGTTCTGTACTTCAATCTTAAAAGCACTTCAAAGCAGACTCGTGGATTACTCTCTCCCTCTTCACTGATTGTAACCCGCTCACTTGTTCCTCGCGAACTCTCATCCAATCCCCGACGCGGCCATCGCCGAGCTTACTCGAACATCACCGAGATCGTAATCCCTGCACACTGACGTCTCGCTCACCTCAATAAACTATGGCGACTTCAATTGCTCGCGTACGGGCTGTAGCGAAGCTCCCGGGGCAACTCCGGACATTCAGCTCTACTCCTAGAGTTGCTTCTGCAACGGGGGGAGTAAAGCGATTGGGTGTTATCGGTGCTGGACAGATGGTGAGTGAGCTCACGAATTAGCATGTGAATATGCGGCATCGAAAAGCTGACCGGCTCGAACCTAGGGACTCGGCATCGCCCTTGTGGCTGCTCAGAGGGCACAAGTCCCAGTGACGCTTGTCGATGCAAACAAGGCGGCCCTGGACAAGGGTATTGCGTTCGCGGGTGAGCATTCAACAATTTCTTGCTGACGAAGGCGGCGGGCTAACAACTCATCAGAAAAGCTTCTCGCAAAGGACGTTTCCAAGTCCAGAATCACACAGGAGCAGGCCGACAAGGCCCGGTCCCTCCTATCGCCAGCCTCTTCGATTGACGAGCTGTCGGATGTGGACTTTGTCATTGAGGCCGTTCCTGAAATCCCCAAGCTCAAGTTTGACATCTTTTCCAAGCTGGCTCAGGTTTGCCCGAAGCATGCCATCTTGGCCACAAACACTTCATCCATTTCCATCACCCGTATTGCAGCTTCCACCACACAAGACCCGACAGACACCTCCGCGAGCTCCCGCGTCGTCTCTACCCACTTCATGAACCCCGTCCCGATCCAGAAGGGCGTCGAGATCATCAGCGGTCTGCAGACCAGCCAGGAGACGCTGGACAAGGCCGTCGCGTTCTGCAAGGCCATGGGCAAAGTCACCTCCGTCTCCGCTGACTCCCCCGGGTTCCTCGCGAACCGTATCCTCATGCCCTACATCAACGAAGCCGTCATTTGCTTGGAGACCGGCGTCGGCGACAAGGAGTCAATCGATGCCATCATGAAGAATGGCACCAATGTCCCCATGGGCCCGCTACAACTTGCCGACTTCATCGGTCTAGACACCTGCCTCGCCATCATGAAGGTTCTTCACGAGGAGACTGGTGACTCAAAGTACCGGCCGAGTGTGTTGCTTCGCAAGATGGTCGATGCTGGTTGGATGGGAAAGAAGAGCGGAAAGGGATTCTATGACTACTAAAGCAGAGATATGTTGGAGTTTATGATGGGCAAGTTGAACTAATACGTCAGACCATCCAATATGAAAAATGACAGATAGTTCTTAGCAGTAAGCTCAAAAATTGGAAACATCCCAACGCATAAGATTTGGGTCATCACAAAGTCGTTGATATTATTCACGTCCGCGTGTGTTGACTCATAAAATGTATAGAAGCAATTCAGTGCATGTTCTGACTTAGGGTACACTCCTTTGAAGTAACTATCTCAGCCATGCCTGCGGAAATATAGATGGGCATGTAAGCCTCAGGTGGCAGAATACCTGTATGCTCGAGCACCTAAGTGTAGTATGCGAATACAGTTTGACGACTTGAAAATACTAAAGTAACAGCGAATACCCAACCATAGCCTCACGCACTCAGCGACAATGATAACGAGTACAAAGTAGGTACTCCTTGCAATGTGTTTATTCGCCAGAGTCCTAGCTCGGCGTGACGCGGGGCTAGGGGGTTTAAAAGGTACGGCGGCGCAATACCCTTGGGCGGTTCTGACCTTGACGGCATCACCGTTCAGGGTGCGGCTGGTGGTGCGGCCCAACGGGCCGATAGGGTGTCTTTTCCAGCAAACGCTCTGCACGATTAAAGGATCATAGTACATGATTAACTTGCAGAGATACATTCATGCTAGGATACACTACTAAAGGGCAATTACGTATAGAGATATTCGTAAAAGGTGGACTTTTCCAAGTACTGAAGTACCTAGAATAAACCAAACAACAGATGCATGTGCTAGTATACGCTAAAAGACGATTCCGTAAAGAGATTTTTGCAAAGGGCAAACTTTTGAAAGCACCTGCGGTCACCTTGGAATAAATCAAACAACAAATGTATGCGCCAGAGTATCCCAAGGCGCTTTCAGTTGTACATGATACTGGCGTTGTAAGACCCAAGCATCTTTGGAGAATCGTACAAAACACTTTCAAGTACCTTCATGGTCCGAAAGGATGAACATACTTGGGCAGTCACTTCGCTCTATGTAGCTGTCTCCCGAGCGCGGATAGAATTCATTCTGAACTCATTCAATAGGAAGCCAAGTGTCAACTACAACAACAAATGCAAAGTCCCGGTGGCGGAACAATTCAAGATAGGGGCTACGGCTACTTCCCTGACTTCTCACCCTGAGAGTAGCCAATGCTGGGCTCCAAGAGGGAACGGGATGGCAGGTCATAGGACCCTTTTACAGCCCAGTTTCGCTCATCATTTGTTTTAGAAACACACAAAACACGTGGAAATCATGGAAACATTTGAGTTACGGTCAGCTATAGTTACGGCATGTGAAAGAAACTAAGCCACAGGTTGATAACCTCTATCCTTTACACTCGAAAAGGGGTAACGCGGGGGCCTGAATGTTTCTCGCACGAGATACATCTCCATGAATCGTGTTGAACGAACAATCTACGTGCACCTTAATGGACATATGGAGTTACTGCATTTGCTTGAAGCCTAGATGCCCGGCTCCAAGCTATCAACTTGCAACACCTTGCTGAACCAACGAAGGTTAAAAGACAGCTTAGGGGCGCTGGTCAATGGTCATTCATCGCAGAACAATAACTCTCGGCATAGTAATGCTCCCACCGGTCGAGCTTCAAAGGAAAAGACTACCTAGATGACACCTGTACAGTAGTTGCTTGAGTTCAAGGATCAAAAGCATGGCAAGGGGTATGAAGCGATACCAAGAGCGTGCCATTCCTGCTAAACTTTCGAAGCTCAGATGGGGATATCGCGGCTTCCAAGATGGTCAAAGCTATGAAATCATCCGTTCTACACTCTTGGTTCTGAAGTAAAGTGACATACAATAATATCGTCCCATCATGCCTGTCCTCCCCCAGGAACACATCACAAAAACAAAAAACAAAAAAAAACAGTCATCCGAACGAAGCTCGGTCCAGAACTGATCTACACGTAACTTGGGACGGCAGTTCACTGCTCACAGACGCCCGCAACGTTTCTTCGCCACTTGACCCCCATATATATCGGACTGAGAGTTTCATGATCTACAGCGTGCCGTGCGTGCCTGACGAAGAGAGAGGAATCTTGGTAAGAGGTAAACAAACTCCACGGGAAAACATGATGCTAGTTTCTCCGGCGACATCAGACCGATATCTACACATCTGACGGTGGCATGAAAGCGTGAAGGAGAGGGGGAAAATCCGAGCCCAAGGTAGCCCAGCCCTGTTTCAACGCGACCTTTTGGTTCCCACGCATGACGACGTTGAACCTGTTTAACGTGGAAACCCCGAACGTGCCTGTTCCGACACGTATCCACGTATTCCCTCCCGAACTTCCAACCCTCGTCTTGACCCGGGCCAAGAAGACGAGCCCTCGGCGTGGGATCGTATTTCGAACGGGAGGAAGGAGGCAGTGCAGTTTGAAAAGGCCTCCCGAAAAGGGACCAATATATCGGACACTCGGGACTGCGGGAGGGCGAAACGGCGTGGGTCACTTCCTCCGAGGGCTGGGCCTCCATCCCGAACACGCGTAGTGGCCAACGACCGCCACCGGAGGAGATATGTAGTCCGAACCGAATAACTTCGCCGGTGCGCGGGAAGGGATTCTGTCCCCCCGTCTGCGGGTGGGAGCCCCTGGAGCCATGCCGACGGGAGTGGTAAGGACAAGAACTACCAATGACGAGAAGGGCCGCGGCAAAACTTCGAGAGAGGTGACGAGTTTGACAACCCTCTCCTTTCTCTTGGTATAATGCCGTCTTCGAGCCTCACGTGGCGGCTGATCAGGCGATGAGAAGCTAGAGCTAGGTTACCTACCATGACCGACCGGATCCTGCGCTGTCCGACCGTCTCCGACGGCAGAGATCACAAATTTCCCCCTCCCCTCCCGTCCTTGCCCATGTTATGAGATCCAACGATCATTGAAGGGAGATTTACCGGCCGAACGTCGATCGCTAACCTCCCTCTCCCTGCCTGGAACGAGCCTCCTCCCGATGACGAGCAAGCCGTTTGTCACCATCCCCGAGTCTCCCGCGGCGGCCTCTGCAAACATGCACACGCACACACACATACCTACAGCAAGCCGACCCCCCCTTCGTTGGACCTTGGAAAGACTTCCTTTTTCGGTAATGGTCATGATATGAAACACGGCGGTGCGGGGGAGCAGGACAAAAGAATGGGCTGCTCCAGATGGACGGGAAGACGCGTAACGTCTACAATACTACGTAGGGAGGGATTCGAGAGCGAGAGAGAGAGAGAGCCGCAAACGATAGCAGCTGTAGCATAGAGGGGAAGGGGGGCAACCCATTTTCTCCGTCGTCAAACATGGCGAGAAACGACGGAATCTCCAGCGGTTGGTGGATTCGGACCATGTGTGACGCGAAGGCTGTTTGGCGGCATGTAAATGAATTCGAACTCCGCACGCGGCACAGGCTTTTCTTCTCCTCTCTTTGCAAACAATGAAATCGAGACCCGAGGTTGCGAGGTTACTCTCTCTCTGTAGTGTATACTTCGGGTTCTAGGTTTGAAGTTCCCATGCCCTCGCCCGGAGAAACCTGTGATTTGTCGTTGGTAGCTCGACTAGGTTGTTGTTGTCAGCAAGGAGTTTGCTATCACGCGCCAAGAGGCGGTTGGTGAGAAGCTGCCACCAACATTGCTTTATTCTTTGTCTGCGGGTAGCCGTCGTTGACGCGGCACGGACAGGGTCGTTTTCTTGACACGAATTGCATCCTTGATCCTATCGGGAGGGGTTGTCGTCGACTTTCGTCAGAGAGCCGCGCAAGGCAGGTGAAGCTAATGGGAGCTATCGCAAACCCAGGCCTACCAGACCCTGTCTATCACCAAGCTATCTTGTCTAACACAGGCAGCACATGCAACAAGCTCTGGCAGCTTTGCAAAAGCGTAAATAGAGAAGGTGAGCGGCGATTGCCCCTGCTGACCATGTTCTAGAAGATCTATCGTAGGTTTGCGACGAGGAACACCAGACGAGTATGGTGAGAGCTATAGTAGATGGCTTTTCGCCGCGGGTTCCGTGATGGCGGGACGGGGAAGAAGACAGGGCAGGGCCCGACGGAAAGAGGCCAGTCAAGGGCACGTGGAGGTGGTGGTCATCTCGATGAAGGCCATGCCATGCCATGCGGTATGCCATGTCCCACGACACGATGGATGAACCGAGCATGCCATGCATGGCGGGGATGAGCATGAGGAGGTTCGGGAGGGGAAGCTGGAACTGGACTGGGCTGTCACTGGGCTGAGATGGGGCCAAAAGAAAAAGGGATGTATAATTAGCCCATTGATGATGCTATTTCGAACAGATGGGTCATGGGCCAGCCGCCATGGGGCGGGAAAGGATATCAAGTTGGGGTTTGGTTGCAACGGGGATGGAGGTGGTGGGCTGAAGTTGGAAGATGTGCGTGATGGATGTGGCAGGATGATGGGACGAAAAGTCACGAAATGGGACTGATGATGGCAAGAGTTCGCATTGAAGTGACGGATGTGGTATGGACTCTGGTATGGAGTATGGGTTTGGGATGGGCGGGAATGCCGTCGTGCCATCGGTGTGGTGTGGTAAAACAGGCGCGGCAGTCGTCTTCAGACGTTAGTCGTCTCAAGTCAGCCTTAGCAGCCCCCAGTTGGGAAGGCCAGGACCAACATGCCAACTGCCAAGTCACCAATTGATACCTGCCAATTGACATCAGGTGCAGGTGCAGGTGCAGTTGCCAGTCGGATGGACGATGAGGTAATCATGCAAGGTACCGCTGCTTACCTTAGCATCGTGTGTTATTGCATACCTCAAAGGTACGGAGTGCGGAGTACACATACTACAAATACATATACGTATGGGTGGTGTACCAGAACATGCACATGCACATGGCGGAATAAGGTAGTGTGTCGACATCAATAGCATCACCCGTGCTATAGTGTACCTTGCCTTGGTCTTGGCCTTGCGTCTCTTCTCACAGTGACTGAGTGAAATAAGGCGATTCTAGAGCCTACCTTAGACAGAAGCGAGTTTAGTTCCCCCATGTCATGATTCGCCTTGGCCCGCCCAGATAATGCCTGGCGATTGCGACTCATAAATGGGGTTTTAAGATGTGCTAAGACTCACCCTAACGCGCCTTTGCCGAAAGCTGGGCTGATGGAGAGTTGATGGAGAGTTGAGGTTGGTTCCATTCCCCTCTTAGGCGTTCCCCCCCCATCCAAAGACTTCCCAGCTGGGCTCTTCTTAACTCAGCTCAACTATCGATACCTCTCACTCCGCTCTCCAAGGCTTCCCGAACAACCTAACCTCCCCCACCCCACCCTTTACCTTACTCGAGTGACAATAACGTTCCCCGTTACGTGCAAGGCACCAGGCACAGGGCCACACTGCAGCGAGAAAGCCGCCTTCACTGCAACCGTAGCCTGCCAGGGTAAGGCACGGCAGTCCCGGGGGTGAATATCTGAGAGGCTCATGGCTGCACGGCACACCCAGGCCAAAGACAGGGCAGGGCCGCCGCCAGAACCTAGGGACCAGGGGCCAGAGTCTAGAGATGCCAGGATTGAGACTAAAATTGGGCGTGGAAAATCGAGTGGACATGGGCGGCTTCGGCGGAGTAAGGCCCGTCAAGGCCGGCCTCTTTTTTCTTGGTGAGTTGTTGACTCTGTTGTTGTACCCGTAGTTGATGTCTTTTCTTATTTTCCTTCGCGAATTTCTCCCACTCTCATTTCGGAGGCTCCTCTCTCGGAGCATCGTCTCTTAATTCCCCGTGCCGTTTCTTCTCCTCCGTCTAGGTTCTTCTTCGGGGGAAAAAGAATGGGGGAAAGTGGAGAAGGGACCGTGGACGGTGGGAGGCGGTCTGAAGGCGGTGGGAATCCATCTCGCTTTCTTACTGCAAGGGGCGTTGCCTCACAGGCAAAAAAGACGATACTCTGTAACCCAAGAAGCAAAATCGAGGGGAAACTCAATTCAGCAGGTAGAATTGCTACCCGTCAGTCGTCACTGGTCACACACACACACGGCAGCCACGCCATGCGGAGGAAGGATGCCAAGACAAAGGGGAAACGGGGGAATGGGCAGAAGGAAAGAAGATGAAGGAAAAAGGAAGCAAAAAGGATCCGGTAGTGGTGGAAAACCCGACTAGTGGAGTCGAGCAAATACCGGCGGCCGGCAGCTTCAAGTCTTGTGCCGCGGCCTAGGCCATGCCATGCCATGACAATCAATGACAAGCCTTTCTTTGCACTTCTTACCCTCTGGCCAGGGCCCAAGTCTGATGGGTACCCGCAAAAAGAAAGCAAATGTCCAGACCACACCTCAACCTCTAGTTACCTAGTGTACTGCGAACAGTACATATGTATCTCGCATCTTATGTGATATTCCCTACAAATAACACAGTCCGGCTTCCGTCATCGTACCCACGATACCCTCTCTCACCCTGGCGGGAAATCACAGGAATCCAGATTCCAGGGCCCTCACCCTCGATACTGGAACAGTGGACGCAGCAACGGGATCCTCTTGCAGTCATTACGGATGCCGCCTATCTCTGATGACACTGTCACAGTCCAGGCCGACGTGCACTAGCACCGCGTCCGTGAGTTACTGCAAGCAAGTATCCGTACCCATCCATCCGCACAACAACGGGGGCCGCTTCTCTCCCCACCGCGCTGCGACCTCCCGTCGTCGACGTCGACTCAAGAGTCAAACCCATATCCACTGCTTGGTGGAGTGAAGATGGTGGAGAGCGCGATGAGCCTAGTGAGGTCTATTTCATTTTCAACTTCTCATCAACCCATACCCATACACCCAGGGCCACCACCTTGGCGTCCGTGTCGGTGTCGCCCAGGGCAAGAGAGGCTCATCTGCCCACGCTGTCAAGGGTCGTTGCAAACTCGCGCCTTCTCCGCCTTGTCTCGTCAGACGACCAGCACCTGAATCGCCGCGCATTAGAATCGTCGTGAAGAAGGTTTAGCACCATGCCTCATCAGTAAATGATCACGGCCGATGATAGGAGTTTGGCCAAAGACAACAAGCAACAGTTGCTACACCTGACGAGACCCGCATCGCACTCGAGCGAGTCCAGGCCGGAGTCACTGGAATGCCCAGACATCGGGTTCCCGCTTGTCGTTGTCGCATTTCGTGATTATCCCCTCCCCTTGCACTCCGCCGCCCACACAGAAGACGTGAGTCGTTCTTCATGCTGAGACTCTATCCGTACTCCGTCTTCTCTGCAGACTGCGGATATGGATTTGACGACAAGTCATCAGGACAACCGACGGGGATATCGGAGAGTGGGACGGTACGAGACGAAACGAAATGAGATGGGCGCAAAGTCGAGCTATCGAGCTTCGTCCACTCCGAAGCCGTCGCTCTCACCGTCAATGTCACGACCAGACTCCAAAGCCACCCCGAGCTACGTTGCAGAACGGTAGAACCTGGAGCTTGGCGACAAGGCTGGTAAGTAGCGTGCTCAGAGCTAAGAGCTTACACTAGAGCTGAGACCGAGGAATGCGAACTCGGAATAGGCAAAGGAGGTGTTCCCACGCCCACAAACCGAATCCAGAGCCACGGTTCGCAAAATAACGTTCAGTGACACGGAGCGCGGCGAGGTAAAGCAAGCTTGTTGCGACGTCTCACAAGGCTCAGGCGCAGGGACTTTTGGCCTCCCGCTCGTCGGATGCTCAGGTAAGGGATCCGTACAAATTACCTAGATACAGTAGGAAGTTGGCGGCGGGTGAATAGATGAGACTGTCCGATGCAATTCATTTCCAGAGTCAGATTGCCTTAGTGAGCGGGTACACGGTGGTATGGTAAGGGTAGGCAATTTGATGAAAAACAATAACAGTAAGGCAGAGGCTGCTGCAGAGGCCGTCAAGGTTGACCGTCGTCGTGATCGATGGTGGCAGTGTTCGCAGAGGGCCCCTCTACAGGCAAGGTACTGTATCCGTAGAACTTTCCAGGTTGGAGGAACAATTCGTTGACCGCTCGACTGGGGTGATGCTCGTTGGTCGGGGCGACTCGTATATCCGTGTCCGAGGAGCTGGAAGGGTTCAGTGAAGGATGGAAGGGGGAAGGGGGAAGGGGGGGGGAACGTCCCGACTGGACCGGTCACCTGGGATGGCGTGGGATAGGTGTACGGAGTACCTGGGTATCTGCTCACCGTTCGGATGCCACCTTACCTAATATCGTCCGATCGGCACCTCCAGCCTGGGCTCCCCTGGCGGTGCCTGGGAAGTGACATGGACCCCGCTCTTTACTGACCCTTTTCGGGATGTAGTGGTTATGATGGATAATGGAATATGGTCCACTTGAGAGATCGGAAAGCCATTTCTCCACCCCTTTTACGCATAAACGAATATGGGATCCTCCACAACCCAAGACTGCCTAAACCCAATCCAATGTAGGTACGCGAACAACGCACCAAAGCTCGGCACTGGCACCCAAAAGTGCCCACGGCGTTGCAGCGGTGCCGGGGGGAGAGACCGAGTGAGGGCCTCATAGAGGTTGAGAGTCCCCGTCGCGGACGACCATCGAAACGGAGCAGGCCCGCCGACGACCGAATACCACTCTGGATCCTTCCGGAGAGGTGGGCGGACGAAGTTGCAACGAGGAACAAGACTCGAAAGAGACACACACGCACCGAAAGGGAGAGATGCCCAGAGAGAAAGAGGATAGAATGGTACGTCAGTGGTAAGACCATGGCCCTGCCGAGCGGAGGCTCTTACAAGATACCCGTCCCCCGGGCCTCGGCCCTCGAGTCCTTTGATTTGATTTCCAGATCGCACCATCTCCGGATCCCGCGCATCTGAAGCATCGGCAGACGTCTACTAGGTGCCTCGCGTCATGTCCGCCGTGCCGTGTCCACCGCAGTCCATGGCCAGGCCGCCAGATCCTATTCTCCCATGATCCATCCATGGCGGGCGGCATGGCCCCGGTCTTCACTTCGGCTTCTAGTGGACGGAATCACGGATACGCATCAAGAGCCTCCATGAGGCTAGGGATCGTACGGGCCAACGCGGACTACGGACAAATTCGCAAACTCGTTAGCTTGACACTGTCCGTGACGGGACCACCACCATCATCATCATCATCCATGACTTTTGATTGTCGTGGCCGATACCGCCATGCACGACAGAATCTTCTTCCAAGGGAATCCACCCCTTTTTTTCTGCTTCAGTATCAGCTTGCCGGGCAAGCCTTTGATTGCAAGCTTGTCAATGTCGTCTGCTTGCGAGATATCCGCACCATGATGCAGCAGGGGCCTTCTTTGGAATTGCCTCATTTGGTTTGGTCGCTGCCCACAACGACCCCCCGTTGCCAAATCTTCCACTGCTCAGAAGCCTTCCTGGAATCCTGGAAGCTGGCACTGGCAGACAATGATATCCGCACACACCGCAACTGCAAAACCCGCGCAGGTCTTGGCAGCCATGGACCAGCAGCGATGCCCGTTTGCCAACTTGCCGTCAGGTCCCTGGGCTTTCATCTCGTCTTCGGCTTCATCGTCTCCACAAGCGCACGCACATCAACGACTCCGTTCCAAGTCATGGGCTCACGCTTGAGCCAGTGGCAGGTGGTACCTTTGTCTTTGATGGTATCCATCGCCCGCATCTGCCATGGAAACTTGTTGTTGAAGACTTCAAAGTTCACGGACGCCAGATACCGTTGGCGACACTCAGTGTGTGCCAAGCAGCGATTCAATGAAAAATCTCGCCCCCCTGCCCCCTTTCACTTCCCACGTCTTGGAAAAGTTGGGGATTCAGGACCGGCACTCGAAAGGCTTGTCGAGGGGAGCCCTGCTCGCACTGCAGCCGCACCAACCAACCCGCTTGACCTGCTCGTCCCGTCGCTGGTGTGACAAGCCATGCCGAACAATCGGTCACCCGTCTGTCACCTGTAATTGACATGGCCTTGTCGCACAAGGTGGCAAGTTGGTGATTTTTGCTCGAGGCCGTGAAACTTTGTCATCGCACGGCCGCTAGTGCTCGCCGACCTTGAGAAGACGACGCATCCTGGGGACCTCCCTGTCTAACGGCTTTCAAGCCTGCTTGCCTCCAATCTTGACCGAACATCTCGAGTCCTCGTTGGTCAGATGCGCACCAAGGCTGCCCACAACTCAGACCGAGCTTCACCCATCGCCCCATTGCAAGTCAATCGCCGTGGCGAAGACCACAGCCACGCGTGTTGTGCGCGGTCGGGCGCGGGCGCGAATGCAGTCGCACATGGTCGAGTCCTGCAACTTCTGGACATGGAAAGTGCGCAACAGCGATGCTAGCAACCAGCTGCCTCGGCGATGAAAAGTTGCAACTTCAGCTCCACTTGACTTGGCTTCTAATCACCGTGGAGACACATGACTCTGGGGTGAGTGGGAGACTGAGACTTCTGACTGAAAGCAACCTTCATAACCGCAAGGGGCACTGGAACCGAGGGCCTTGACTTCGAATGGAAGGTAAAGGCGAGTCCGATACCACTGCAACCCTCGAGTCCTATTCATAGCCGCCCGAGGTCCACAGTGCCGAGGGTGACGAGAATGGGCTCAGCGGACCGACAACGAGAGTCGGAAAGAGAGAGAGAGAAAGAGAGCAAACCCGCGTTGGCTTCAACGGCACGGATCGCGATCCATGCTATGTCCTCTTCAGCCCATGTTCTTCGCCCATGCTGCCTGTTACTGGGCATCGACAGAAGCGCCGCCGCACTCGTGCGCACCTGTCTCGAGTCCTAGACGCGATACAACACCAATCCAATCGCACCCACCACACCCAGCCTTTGCTTGAAGAGCCTCAGAATCGCCCACGCCCGGCCCTGGTCGCCGGGGGCCGGTCAGTGCTGTCTCTGGCGGCACAGGCGTGTTCACATGGTCGCTCCCCGAAACTGCATCTATTTCCGCCTCCGACGCGGCTACCTGCTCGTGGCTGCGGCTCTCCGTCGACTTGACACAGACCAACAATTGCTCCATGGAAAGGCGGGTGACGGTGGATCTGATGCTATTTTCTGCTTGTACGCATCGAATAGAGTAGCTGCGAGCAGGCAATGCAGATTGAGGTTTCGATCCTCCCAAGACTCTTGAAAGACATTTCGCGTCGTACAAACGGACCCGACGGCGGCTTTGAGGTCATCACCGGGTAATCGCTGTTAGTCGGGCGGCGGCCGGCGTCTGCGTCGTGACTCGAGTGGCCGCAGCCGCAGCAGCCGCATCCCGGAGTGTGTGGCTGCTCTCTTGTCTTGGCCCCCTTTGGCTTTTACACGTCCTAAGTTCCTAACTGCAGCACTGCTTATTTGTTTGGACGAGACGGGATATCGAAGCCGGGAAAGCAAAGGGGAAATAAGCAAGTTGTTCCGGGTCTGCAAATGCAGTATCCATGTCTGCGTACGGATCACACAAACACACGCACAAACTCCTTGTTTTGCAGATCGCGGGTCAGACAAGAGTTGCGTTGCGTTGCGTTGGCCCAGTCAGTGTCATCTCGTACGGACGTACGTACGAACCAACCAACTGAACTGCCGTTCTCCAATTTGACCGTTGTCGAGGGGCAATCAGAATCAATCTTGCATCTCCACACACCAACTTCAAGCCACCGGCTTTTTTTTCTTTCTCTATCTCTCTATCGCTCTCTCCTTCTCCAAGGCGTCGTCAGTCCTTGCTAGCGCATTGGGCATCCTAGGATTCTTCTGCAGTTTGATGCCGGCTTCGAGTACCGGGTGCATCCACTGTTTGTCAGGCAGGTTGGCAGGTCCAACGACAACAACAGACGAGCCGAGACTCGAGACTCGAACGAGATTGTCGACAGTCCCTGACTGACGCGGACTGCAATCAGCATGCACCTGCAATCCCAAGGCATGGCAACTGAGACACGCCAAAAGTCCCGCCTCGCTGGATCAAGGTGGATTGGAGATTTGCCAAGACTCTTGGAGGGTGAAGGTGACGGGCGACACGCAGGTACGCAGGTTAGCGTACGAGGAGCCACACGTATGCCGGGGTTGCTGTCGAATGGGCAAGTTGTAACGAAGCGATTCGCGCGCGCGCGCGTGCAGGGGGGCGTGGGTGGAATGGCAAGTTTGGACGAAGTGCTCGCTGGACGATGGCCCCACGGTTGCCGCGCTGTCGGAACCTCTTGGATCTCCCTAGCGCGTCTGGTTGGCGATTCAGAGATCTCTGGGAAGCAGAGCCAGGTACTCCCTGACAGGCCCTTGTGTCAAGTTGATGGCCCGACGGGGCGCCGGTAGATTTGGCGCCCTTCTGCCTTTCCCACCCGCTCCCTGCCACACCGAAAACGCCCAGTTCTCTTCCGGCTCGACTCAGGTACCTTGGACTTGAGCGACGGGACTTCGGGTAGCCCGCGAACAGCTGTTGCAACGGCTGGTGAGTGGCTTGCAGACTTGCATAGTTGTGTACCGAACGAGTCTCGCTTTGGACTTGCCTGAGATCAACATCAACGGCAGCCCGATCTTGGAGCAAGTCACCCTGTCCCGGTCTGTGGTGGATTCGTGGTGGTATGTCTTGCCTCTGTCTCTCATGCCTTGGCTTTCCTCGGGAAGCGTATACTACATCCCTACGCGACAGATGTATTCGTGGTTCGTACGGATACTCTGTATTACTATTCGTACAGACTACAAAGTACGAATACAGAGGCAGCGTAAGCCAGCCAGCCAGCCAGCTGGCCCAACCAACAAACAGTCAGCCTGCAGGGCGAGGCTCGCAAGCAAAGCAGGGAAAGCAACAAGCAGTAGCATGCATTGACGGATGTGGCGTCCGCGAACGCTCCCGTGTCTCATGGATGGGCCTGATGGACCTGATGGACCTTGATGAGCCTGATACCTGACGCCCATCACCCGTTCCTCTCATCTTGGAGCTGTCCTTGGGATCAACACAGGCATGGCACCAGTCCCCAACCCGGTCGGAACAACATTTTGAGCAAAGTTTGGGAAACGGCATGCACATCAAAGCAACAGCGAGTGAGAGCAGCTCCTGTCAAATGATCTTGTCGTCTCTTCTCCTGCAATGCGTGCAGCAGTGCCGGGAAGAAACTCCACGGGTGGCGTTCCTGTATGGCAGGGCACGCCGCACACGGACGGCCGTCGCGGAGATGGATTCCCACTCTTCTGCGCGACGAAATTGGACAGGACCCGGCGACCGCACGACACGATCCACACACCCGTGGGTTGGCCCAGTCCACACACGCAGCATCTGCTCTCTTGCGTTTGGCCCCATGGGTTGGGTTGCTGTCGGTTTACTCTCCCGATGACGAGAGCAAAGGGCCACCGGGGGCCCGGGCAAGCCTTAGCCAAGGCAAGGGCAAGGTGAGGCGAGACGAGGCGACGCGTCCGAGAGTCAGAGACTCGAGAGGAGGGAAGTGAAAGGACCGGGCCATCATGAGATTTCCAAGAAGCAAACACACCGACAAAAAAGCAACAGAGTGACAACCGACATGTTTCTTGGTGTTACGTCTATGTTCTATGGCCAATTGTGCCCCATTTTTCGCTCTCTCACTCGGTTTCTGGTGTGAGAAGCTGGTCATGCTGGATGTCACTTCGGACGGGCGGTAACTTCTTGTAAAGCAAGACCATTCTTGTTGTTCATCTCACCATTTTGAATTTCAAATGTCTGGATTTCAGATGGCAGCAGGCCTCCCTCGACCTGATCATCCTGAGCGAGGGCATCCCCGAGCGGCAGAGAGTTTGGCGTTGCAAGGCCCCCGACGTACAACACCGACAACGCCGCGCCGCCGAGTCCGGATCTTGTCATTTTGACTTTGGGGGTCCATCCTTCCAGATATTCGACACGTATGGTACAGAATAGATGGGCTAGGCATTTTTTTTCCTTTCCTTGTACAGCAGCGGTAGCAGACTTTGGTGACGTGAGAGGCATCAGACGGGTATCTGTACACTAGCTAGCTAGTCTCTCGCTTTTCGCACCGAGAACAGTCTCGTCATGTCTCGTCACTCGAGATGTCTCTGTGTGTCTTTACCCATCACTAACACGCACCACACGCATGGCGGCCGCGGATGAGCGAAACGAAGCGGATGCGATGATGCGAAAGTGGGATCCCCTAATTCCCCATCCGCATCACCAGCATGTAAGGTACATCACCCCAAACCCCTGCTTCGCTCACTCGCATCACTCCGCGGGGGGGAGAAGAAGATGATGATGCTGGCTGGCTGGCTGGCTGGCTGGCTCCTATGGTAGGCCTGGCCTGATGAGGGGCCTACGATCACCCGTCCGTCGTCGTCGCCGCGGCGGCCATCCCTCACTCACCCCTGGACGGATGACGAGGAAGATCCCTTTTTTTTTTGGTCGATTTGCTCTTCGAGTCTTCCCGCACCCAGCCCAGCCCCAACGCTGATGTGAACGACCAACGACTACCCCGGTCCGCAAGCGTACCCCGGCATGAGATGAAACCACGGTTCGTATACTCATCCCCTCCCTCTCCCCTCCCCTGGCCGGAGGATGCCAGATGGAAGCCTTCTACGGCCAAATCTGAGCACGGACATTTAGCAGCAGCAGCGAATTGTTGTCTGCAGTGTGTGTGTGTGCTGCACGCAACGCAACACAGCTTCAGCGCATGAGGAGTGCATGCAGTGCAGTGCAGCGCATTCAGCGGAAGGGGGGGGATCATGAAGCGTGGTCGTTGTCGTTTGTATCGTTGGTGTTGGTGTTGGTGTTAGTGCCACACCCCTATCCTATTCAAGGTCAAGTGGACGATTGTCGCTGCTGGCGAGAAGTGAGTAAAAACCCCGACGGCGACGGCGCCTATGTAATGTGCGTATGACTTGTATGTACGCATGTATATAGGTATGTATGTAGGTATGTCTGCGTATGTGTGTGTGATGGATTTCCCTCCGATGAAGGAACGTTTCTGGTTCGTTCGCTCCTGGAGAACTGAGAGATCTTCACTGCCCATTACCATATCCTATCGTTCTAGGCTCGGTCGGTCAGCCTCCTTGTATTTGGGTGTGTTCCGAGCTCCGTTCTCTCCGTTCTCACTTCTCTCTCTCTTTCTCTCTCTTTCCCCGCCCATGATGCAAGGGGGAAGTGGAGGGGCACGGTACGCAAACTTTTGGTTTCTGAAGAGAGAGAGAGAGAGAGAGCATAACCTGACGGCTTCCTCAAGATCAAGAGTTATGTCATGATAGAGAGATTGAGTGACGTTTGGTTAGCTAGTAGGGGGTACGAATAGATTGCCCACGCTTATGCCGTCATTGTCACCCGAAGAGCGTGGGAAGCAGAAGAGCCAAAGGAGAGTTGCAGTGGTTGACTGCTTGTTGTTTACCCGTACCCCGACCCTTTGCTCTCCTTCTGAGGGTAATTACAAAACTTTCGGCACACGAGTGATTGGTCCTTGCATGAACTTGTCTCTCTTGACTGTCTGTGTGTACGGATAGAGGCAGAACCAGACACGGCTCAATTCTTTTGGAGATGATCGGCAGGTTCGGTAGCTTGTTGGGAAAGTGGATGGAAATCGTTCCCGAGGCGAGGTCACGACTCACAGGTGTGAGAGAGTCTGAGAGAGCACTCAGACCGTATGGCAGAGGGAGCGTGTGCGGGCCAACAATTCAGCAATTCAGGTACCGAGACACCACGCCGCAGACACAAGTGCCATCATCCTTGATGCGGGTCGAGCAGCAAGCAAGCAATCAGCAGCAACAACAGCTTTGGATCATGGATGGATGGATGGATGGATGGATGGATGGATGGATGGATGGATGGATGGATGGATGGATGGATGGAGGAGTGAGGAGAGGTTACACCGTGACCCCACCACGAAATGGGCGGGAAGCATCGCGCGCATTTCCTCCCAAGACTCCAGGACCAAGACCTAGAGTAAGACGAAAGAAAAAGCTCGGAGGAAAATGAGCCTTTCAGCCTACGGCTCGTTCGGGCAGCTTTCCAACCTGACCTGACCTTACCCAGCACCAGTGCACCACCACATCGACCGCATCGCATCGCTCGCTGCAACGCTACCACTCTTTTCTTAGCCTCGCTGCTCATGCTACCCTTGCTGTTACCTAGTACGAGTATAGCTCCTCTTGCCCTTGTTCTGTCGAATGTGGTGCCTCTTTTCGGAATTCCCTGATGGAACTCACACACACACACACACACACACAAATGCTCACATACGCGTTCACAAGATCACACCAAGAGTACTTTTCAAACTCTCGGCATATACCTCACTACCACATACTTCTACATAGTAAAATGAAGTACCCAGCCAGCTGTCGAACCAAGCTGGAGAAGAGCTCCCGTCGTTCCTGCGACCGGGTGGCCCATGTCGGCGGCCCTGACGCCCGTCGTTCGCAACTCTCCCCACGTCCACCACGGCATTGACGAGCGTGGCACCTCTTCAGCCTGGCATAGATTGGAAATGACCGGGACTTTTCAACAACAGCTAAGCTAGCTAGCTAGCTAGCCTAGCGTAGTGTCCGAATTCCAAAACAGCTTTTCTCTCTCTCTCTCTCTCTCTCTCTCTCTCTCTCTCTCTCTCTCTCTCTCTCTCTCTCTCTCTTGTTTTTACCCTTTCTTCTTCATGTCTCTCTTGGTCCGATCGAATCAAAATGCACGTGGAGATGATATCTCGCGGACGTGCCGGACAAGGCCCGCAGCGCCAGGCCATGCTCATTCGCGAACCACCCCCCACCCCCCTCGTCCCTCCCCGGAGACTTCAATATCCCAAGTGCCGTGCTGTCAGAAGAGAAGCCACAGGAAAACTAATTAACCAGCTTTTCCTTCCGGTCACGTACATTTGACATATTACACACACACCGTAGACTAATCTGACCGCCTTCCTTTCCGCCGCAACCTCTGACCAAGAAGCCACAAGCAAACTAACTCGTTCGATTCGTCCGACAGGCCGGGGCGGGGATTTGGCTCCAGCACGTCACCAAGGCGCGGGATCCTGAACGGCCTAAACCAATCCTAAAGGGCATAAGGGTTCAGTGACTTGAGTTTGCCGTTAATACTCGTTAGCTCAGTTAGCTCTATCTCTCTTCCCATCTTTTCTTTCGATAGCGGTAGTGGCCTCGGCGCCGGCGCGCGCCAAACCGTGAGCTTAAATTGCGCCGCCTTCATCACGCCAGATCAGACGCATAACCACACAGACGGCGCTTCGTTGGAACTTGTCAGCTCGTTTTCGTTGTTCTACGCGAGCACTAGAAGGCCGCTACCGCTACGTTGGGAGTCCACTTTGGGAGAAAGGCAAGGGCAAGGCGCCATCTTTTTCTCGAGACGCTCTCCCACCTTCGTACACTAAGTTCCTGCAACACGGCAACAGGGCGACTTGGTCAAGGGACCGATGTACACAAGATTGGAAGTGGACACAGCCAAAGTATCCGTACCGGTGACAGCCTCTGGCAGACGGGCCCCCAGTCAGTCTCGCCTGTCTGTCTTGGTGGAGAACATGGAAACTGGAATTGAGGGACCGCGGGCTTCGAGAAACCGCTTCTTTCTCCCCCCCTGAGCCCTGGCCTGGCAGAGAGAGAGAGAGAGAGAGAGAGAGAGACTCTCGAGTTGAACGTGCTTTTTTTTTCACACTTGCTGTGGGGATTTGCCTTTCTGCTCGTCCCATACCAAGGCCACGAAGATGCGTTAGTACGGAGTACTTGCGTGCGTTGCGGCGTGTTCTCTGTACGCAACGTGCAGGACAAAAGACATGCGCGTTCACTGTTTCCGCCCTCTTCTAAAACATGGCTGTACAGCAAGCGCGGCCCCAGATTCGGTCCAGATTTGGGAATATCTT